ACCTACGCTGTAATTCCATCCCTTTGACTGAATTACTTTATAATTTGATGTTTATACCACATTAACCCCTTTACCAAAAAAGAATAAAGATTAGAACCCTGAAAAAAACCTACCAATCACATTTTTCACAGAACTAAAACAAACCATTCCCAAATTTGTGTGGAACTACAAGACCCCAAAGAGCCAGAGCAATACTAAGAAACAAGTATTATGGAAGTATTAGGCTTCTAGGTATACTACAAAGTACAGTAATCAAAACAATACGGTATTGGCACAAAAACAGATGCTTACATCAATGCAACAAAATATAGAGAGCCCAGAATTAAACCCACACTTACATGGTCAGTTAAAATTGGAGGTAAAAATACATAATGAGAAAAGTCTCTTCAGTAAACTGTATTGGTTATACAGGACTGCTACATGCAAAACATGGACCACTTCCCTAAAGAATATATACAAACAAACTCAAAGTGAATTAAAGACTTAAATGCAGGACTTGAAACATAAAATTTCCAGAAGAAAACACAGGCAGCAAGCTCTCTGACTCTGGCCTTAGCGATATTTTTCTCTCTCTCCTCAGTCAAGGACAACAAAGGCTAAAACAAACACATGGCACCTACATCAAACTAAAATGTTCTATACAGCGAAGGAAACCATCAACCATACAGAAGAATAACCTACTGAATGGTAGATGTTCGAACATGACATATTCAATATGGGGTTAACATCCAAAACATGCAAAGTACTCATACAACTCACTATCAAAAAGACAACCAATTAAAAAAATGGACAGAGGACCTGAATAGACCTTTTTCCAAAAAGGATGTATAGTTGGCCAACAAACACATGCAAAGATTCTCAGTATCACTAAGCATCAGGAAAATGCAAATCAAAACCACAATGAGATCTCAATTCAAATATTAGAATGGCAAGTTCAAATTAAAGACAAAAAATAACAACGGCTGGCAAGGACGTGGAGAGAAGGAAACCCACATATACTATTGCTGGGTGTGTGAACTGGTGTATCCACTATTGAAAACAGTACGTGGGTTCCTTCAACAGTTAAAAATAATATAATACCATATAATCCAGCAATTCTGCTTTAGGAATTTACCCAAGGAAAATGAAAATAATAATCTGAAAAGACATAAGTGATCTTTATGTTCATTGCAGCATTACTTACAATAGCTAAGATATAACCTAAAGCAGCCTAAATGTCCATAGATACATGAATGGGTAAAGATGTGTAACACACATTCACACAGCGCAGCATATTACTCAGCCATAAGAAAGAAAACAAATCCTACCATTTGGGCCATCAACAATCTAAGCCTTTGGAGCACATGCCATTGACAGGAGGTACTGTGAACAGTACTTGCCCTCTGTGGCCTTCTTCCCCCAGAAAACACAACTCCAAGTGATCACAAGAAAAACTTCAGGTTAAATCCAACCGGAGAGAAATTCAAAACTGATGACAAATAATCATGCAAATAATAAGGATCATCCAAACTAAAGAATGTCTCAGAAACTCTAACAAAGAGCGTCCTAGGGAGACGAGATCACTAAATGTAATGTGGTATCCTGAGTGGGGTCTTAGGGGAGAAAGGGAACAAGTAGGGAAAACTGAGAAAAAGAAAGGATGGTGGATGGTTACAAGGCAGCAACACTGTTTCATTAATTATAACAAGGAACTATGATGTGGGATGGTAAGAGGGGAAGTAGTCGGAGCAAACAGTGAAATCCTGCAATACCTTTGCAAATTCTCTGTGAACCTGAAACTGTCTTCAAAGTAAAGTGTATTAAAATCCATCAACATCATCCACATCAACAAAAAGGACAAAAACCACATGATCATCTCCATAGATGCTGAAAAAGCATTCGACAAAATTCAAGATTCATTCATGATAAAAACTCTCAACAAAATGGGTATAGAGGGCAAGTACCTCAACATAATAAAGGACATATATGACAAAACCACAGCCAATATTTACTTAAGAGCGAGAAGCTCAAAGCTTTTCCTTTAAGATCAGGAACAAGACAAAGTTGTCCACTCTCCCCACTTTTATTCAACATAGTACTGGAGGTCCTAGCCATGGCAATCAGACCACACAAAGAAATAAAAGGCATCCAGATTGGCAAGAAAGAAGTCAAACTGTCCCTGTCTGCAGATGACATATTGCTCAAAAAAAAAAACCCTAAAGAATCCACTCCAAAACTACTAGATCTACTATCTGAATTCAGCAAAGTTGCAGGACACAAAATTAATATGCAGAAATCTGTGGCATTCCTATACATTAACAATGAACTAGCAGAGAGAGAAATCAGGAAAACAATTCCATTCACAGTTGCATCAAAAAGAATAAAATACCTAGGAATAAACCTAACCAAGGAAGTGAAAGACCTATACCCTGAAAACTACAGGACACTCTTAAGAGAAATTAAAGAAGATACCAATAAGTGGAAACACATCCCGTGCTCATGAATAGGAAGAATTAATATTGTCAAAATGGCAATCTGCAGATTTAATGAAATCCCAATCAAAATACCAATAGCATTCTTCAATGAACTAGAGCAAATCGTTCTAAAATTCATATGGAACCACAAAAGACCCCAAATAGCCAAAACAATACTGAGAAGGAAGAATAAAGCACAGGGGATTACACTCCCTGACTTCAAGCTCTACTACAAAGCCACAGTAATCAAAATAATTTTGTACTGGCTCAATAACAGACCCTTAGACCAATGGAACAACTTAGAGAGCCCTGATATAAACCCAACCATATATGGTCAATTAATGCATGATAAAGGAGCTATGGACATACACTGGGGAAATGACAGCCTCTTCAACAACTGGTGTTGGCAAAACTGGACAGCTACATGCAAGAGAATGAAACTGGACTATTGTTTGACCCCATACAGAAAAGTAACCTCAAAATGGATCAAAGACCTGAATGTAAGTCATGAAACCATAAAACTCTTAGAAGACAACATAGGCAAAAGTCTCCTGAATATAAGCATGAGCAACTTCTTCCTGAACGCATCTCCTTGAGCAAGGGAAACAAAAGCAAAAATGAACACATGGGACTACATCAAATTAAAAAGTTTCTGTACAGCAAAGGACACCATCAACAGAACAAGAAGGCATCCTACAGTATGGGAGAATATATTTGTAAATGACATATCCAACAAGGGGTTAACATCCAAAATACATAAAGAACTCAGATGCCTCAACACCCAAAAAGCATATAACCCAATTTAAAAATGGGCAGAGGATATGAAGAGACAATTCTCCAAAGAAATTCAGATGGCCAGCAGACACATGAAAAGATGCTCCACATCACTAACCATCAGGGAAATGCCAATTAAAACCACAATGAGGTAGTATCACCTCACACCACTAAGGATGGCCAACATCCAAAAGACAAACAACAACAAATGCTGGCAAGGATGCGGAGCAAGGGGAACCCTCCTACACTGCTGGCAGAAAGTAAGCTAGTTCAACAATTGTGGAAAGCTGTATGGAGGTTTCTCAAAAAACAGGATTACCACTTGAACCAGGAATTCCACTCCTAGTAATTTACCCTAAGAATGCAGGAGCCCAGTTTGGAAAAGATATATGCACCCCTATGTTTATCTCAGCACTATTTACAATAGCCAAGAAATGGAAGCAACCTAAGTGTCCATCAGTAGATAAATGGGTAAAGAAGTGGTACATATACACAACAGAATATTATTCAGCCATGAGAAGAAAAAAAATCCTACCATTTGCAACAACATGGATGGAGTTAGAGGGTGTTATGCTCAGTGAAATAAGCCAGGTGGAGAAAGACAAGTATCAAATGATTTCACTGATCTATGGAGTATAAGAACAAAGAATAAAACTGAAGGAGCAACACAGCAGCAGACTCACAGAACCCAAGAATGGGCTAACAGTTACCAAAGGGAAAGGAACTGGGAAGGGATGGGTGGGAAGGGAAGGATAAGGGGGGAAAGGAGGCATTATGATTAGCCCACATAATGTAGTGGGGAGGGACATGGGAGAGGCAGTATACACTGCCAACAATAGCATCTTACTACACTGATGTACAGTGACTGTAATGGGGTATGTGGTGGGGACTTGATGACAGGGGGAGTCTAGTGACCATAATGTTGTTCAAATAATTGTACATTAACGATACAAAAAAAAAAACCACAACTCTATGTTCATCTTGAAACATACAGAAAAAAGCATTTGGCAAAATTCAACATCAATTTATGATAAATATCTCTAAAAATAAAGTGGGTTGAGAGGGAACATGACTCAATTACCCACAGCCAAAATCACAATGGGAAAAGCAGAAAATGTTTCCTATAAGATCAGGAACAAGACAAGGATATCTGCTCTCAACACTTCTTCAACACAGTACTACTACAAGTCCCCGCCACAGCAATCAGAAAGAAAAAGAAATCAAAGAAAGAAAGCTCCCCAAACTGGTGAGGAGTAAGTAGGAGTAAGTAAAATTGCCATTATTTGCAGATGGCATGGCACTCTATCTAGAAAACTCTAACGAGTCCAACAAAATTAAAACTAAGTAATGAATTCAGTAAAACTGTAGGATACAAAATGAATATACAAAAATATATAAAAAAACAAATTTGCAGAAAGAATGTAAGAAAACTATCCCACTTGCAATTGTAGCCAAAGTAGTAAGAGATCTGGAGGATGTTTAACCAAGGAGGTGACAGAGCTGTACTCTGAAGATGCTAAGATTACTGACGCAAGAAACTGAAGGTGACGCAAGTTAACGCAAAGCATCTCATGCTCATGGAATGCAAGAATTAAAAAGGTTGGTATTCATACTAAAATAAAAGTTACTAGTATTGTTAAAACTACCTGTAGCTCTGGGAGGAAATTGTAAGTTGGTGCAGCCACCATGGAAAGCAGGATGGAGGTTTCTCAGAGAACACTGGGAAGGACACTGAATGGTGACTTGCTAAGGATGCTAAAAGGAATTACCTACCTGCCTCATGTGACCCTTGAGGTAGAGAGCAGATGTGTGCAGACATGGACCAAGTAGAACTTTCATGAGTTGACTTTAAGACGAAGTTGTTCCCTGTGGAGACCTTGTAGGGAAAACAAAAATGTCACTAAGGGGGTGAACCTGACCCACTGGGCTTCTCCATTAAGAAGGGCCAGTCCACTCGCAGATGGCTTCTTCTCGGAGGCAGGGAGGGTGGGTCACAATGGAAGCCGTGATTTGCAGGCAACCTGCTTCGTGCAACGGGTTGAGAAGGGTGCTCTCACCTGTGACTATTCAAACTTCCTGCTGAGGTCAATCTCCCCAGCAGCCCACCCTAAAGTCTCCCCACCTGACTCCTCCTAGGCGGTTGTGGGGAGCCAGGTGCCCTCCTCAAGCTCTCCTGTGCACAGGCACGCAGAAACACACTATCTATCCTAGGCCGCACAGTGCTCTAACACACACACACACAACACCACACCACACGTGCAAGTGTTACCACACACACAGACACATGGAGGGGAGCCGACACCACAGCGACGCACTCACCAGGGAGCCAGGCCGCGCAATGCAGCCCCAGGGACCTTGACACACCCCCGGCCTTCCACGCTGACCCGTATGGGAGCACAGGAGGCCCCCCACCCCCGCGGATGCACCCTCGCAGAGCCTATGCCTGCGTGCCCACCGACCAGACACCCGACATGGAGGGCCATGCTGGGCGTCCGTTGAGGGCGACTCCGTTCCCTTACGACGTTGCCCCCACCCCCAACAGACACGAAACGACACGGCCAGCCACCGCCAACTGTCGCTCACCACCACCAGTTCTCACCCCCAACCAACGCCATCAACAGCCTTGGATGCTGCCCTGCCCTCCCACTCTCAAGGCCACTGCCTTGCCCTCGCCCTCTAGGTGCACACCTGCCAACAACAGCCTTGGAGGTCCGCCCCGCGCACGGACACCCACTCCCGCCGCTGCGGACGCCACAGCCCACCACAGAGGCCGCCCGTCCATGCTACGGCACACCACAGACCCCGCTCCCCGCCTTCCGCCGCCGCCTCTCAGGGCGCACCTGAAGAAGGCGGGTTGGACTCCGCCCCAGCAGCGAGGCGCCGCAGCCTGCAGCCTCCCGCAGCGGACGTCTTCCCCACCCAATTCCTCCTCGACCCTCGACCTGTCGCTGCCCGCCCCCTGGGGATGGCCGCTTACCGTGAGCTGCCGCTGCGAGGACAGGCATGCGTGAGGAAGACGGCGGGAGGAGGCTGCGGGCAGTCGCTGTCGGAAGACGCCTGCAGGCGGCGCAGGGCTTTGGAGAGGCAAGGCAGCGTTACGGGGAGAAGGCTTTGACGGAGGCTGGGTGGGAAGCACCGACGACCAGGCGCAGGCGGAAAGCTTCCTCTGCCTTAGATGGGTGAACACTGTTAGAAGTAAAGATAGCTGGCACCGGAAGTGTACGGTATCGACCGTTGGACGAACATGCGCGCCATAGGCTGCGCGCAGACCCCGACCCCTTAGGGCGGTGCCTTTACCCCGTAGAGAGGCAAGCAATGTAAATGGCAGAGGTAGCAAGCTGGAAGGGCATGCGCGGCTCGGCTCCGCGCCGACACCGCGCCCTTAGGGAGCTGCCCCTCCCCCCAGAGGCGGGATCTGAAACGGGCGGGAAGGCGCGGTGAACAGGCGTGACGACTATGCGCGGCGCGGACCCCGCCCCCTTAGGGCGCTGCCCCTCTCCCCAAAGAGGCGGGCACTTCAAACAGGGGCGAAGGGCGCGGGGAGCGAGCAAGAGGGACGAGCATGCGCGGGGACGTATACGCGCGGACCCCGACCCAGAGGTCGATGGCCCTTCATAGTGGCCGGCATGGGAAATGGAGGCGGGGTCTGGCGGGACGAGCATGCGCGGTGACGTCTACGCAGACCCCGCCCCCCGAGGGCGATGTCCCTTCTCTCAAAGAGTCGGGCACAGTTAGCTGTGGCGCTGGGAGACGGGAGGAGCATGCGCGGCGCAGACTGCGCGAGGACCCCGCCCCCTCAGGGCGGTGCCCTTCCACCCATAGTGGCAGGCACTGGAAACCGGGACGAGGCAGGCGGGAAGAGCCTGTGCGGCTACGTCTACGCGCGGACCCCGCCTCTTGAGGGCGATGCCCCCCTCCAAAGAGGCGGGTAGTGGAAACGGGGGGAGGTGGCAGTCGGGAAGAGCATGCGCGACTTGGCTGTTCGCGGACCCCGCCCCCTTAGGGCGCTGCCCCTCCCCCCAGAGAGGCGGGCACTGGAAGTGGTTCGCTGGGATTCTGGACGAGCATGCGCGGCGGCAGCTGCGCGGGGACCCGCCCCCCTTAGGGCGGTGCTCTACCCCTAACGACGGGGAGCTCGCGCGTCAATCCCACATTCCTCTGTGGGTGCAGCATCCGTGTGAAATAAAAGGAGATGAGGAAACTGCAAAAGGAAACTGAGCAGTTTATCTAGATGATAAAGAATTAAGGGGTAGATGCTGTGAGAGTAGAAGTGAGAATAACTTTTCAGATTGCATGTAGGGGAATGTTTACTAATAACCTTCAGAACTGCTGTCAAGTAAATGAAATTAGGCATGGAAAAATTATATTGAGTAATGTCATTTCTGGTAATTAAATAATCTTGCAGAGACTGTCAGCTCATCCAAACAGCACAGTCCTGGGAGCCTGCCTGCCCCTCAATCCCCCTGCAGCTCTCTGCTTTCGTTAGGGCACAAGCTGAGCGTTGCATAGTCCGGAGGTGAGCAGTTCCACCATCCTGAACACCTGGGCCCAGATCTGGGGCCCCGGTGCTGCTTCGGTTCTCATGGTCCGCTGGCCTTTAGAAAGAAGGAGAGGGACCAAGGAGGCGTGAGTAGAGTGGCGGCTGCCTGTCTGTCTCTCTTTCCCATGCAAAGCTGCTGCATCTGCGTCCAATCTGGCAGCTTCCTTCCCTGTACAGTGTAATACTAGAATAGTTCAAAGCCAGCTATTGTTCTCTAAAGGGTGAGACTTTTCTATCCTTATACTGTTGCCTGAAAAGCCCATATACTTAAAGGCACTCAGACTAACCTGAATTGGGCAAATATCCATTGCATCCACTTAAAAATAACAAGAACTGGAGATAGAAAGTATAAAAAAACATATACTAGGCAACACATTCATTGTATTTGTTCTTCATTCATTTGAACAACATGCACTCTGCACGTGGCACTGGGGACAATGATGGGTTAGGCAGGCATGGTTCCTGTGCTGGACATGGACATCCACATCCACTCTCCACCTTCCTCTCTGCAGATGACATCAGTGGGTATCCTCACCCTCAGAAATCTGGAGAGAGGAAAGAGCATTAAGTAAGGGGTACCTATGACCTGGCTCCCTGTCTGTGCAGTCACTTAGGCTGGCTGTGCCCCTCTGTCAGAGGGGACTGCTCCAATCAGGGTGCTCCTCTGCACACCAGTCCCTCCCTGCAGGCCCAGTGACTGCTCCCTTCCCTCACCCCTTGAGGCAGAGGATGGCAAGGCCCCACTTTTGCTGTCTAGGGGGCACCGAACCATCCCTGGGGTTTCTCTACATCCTGCCTCAACCAGTATGGCCCCACCCTTCAGTGTCGCTGAAGGCCTTGGATGGCTTGCCATAGACTCCCCGCTCTGACCGTGACTGGCGGAGTCGTCCCCCTGGGGGCTCACTGTCTAGCGGGAGGGACAGACCACAGACAAGTATATGACCACCAGGAGTGATACGATCCATGGAGGAAAACAAAATCGATGGTGTGAAAAAGAATGAGAATCTAATTTAATAACAAAATCTAATTTAGGCAGGATGGAGATGATGTTTAAGCCAAGTCCTGGAGAACAAAAAAGGAGTCAGAAAAAATGGATTCTAGGTGAAGGAGGAGGCACAAACAGAGGCTCAAAGATGGGACGGAGCTTAGTGTGCTCTAGAAATTAAAGGAAGAGAGGGAGGGAGGGAGGGAGGAAGGGAAGCAAAGAGAAAGGCGTTGTTGCTAACTGTTGCTAAGTGCCACGATTTAGAGTTAAGTCAGCAGATAGATTCAAAAACACTTGATTATGGTATTTTTAAAAAGATTTTCTCAACCCTATAAATCATATGTGGATTTTATCCCTCCTCCCCTAACTCCTTAACTATGAACATTCTCAGTTTAGCTAATATTTAGTGACATTTTTTATTTCCATGTGAAACATGCTTCTGGTAAAATACATACACACTTAAGGAAATATCTTATTTCAACCTGTGCCCAACATACACCTCACACAAACGCTTTCCCTAACCCCTGCCCCTCACTGCCTCTTCAACTGAAGATGTTGTTAATTGAAACATGCAATTAGCTAAAACCCTCTAAAGTCCGTGAATCTGCTTCTGGTGAATGCAGCCCGAGCGGTATTAGGAGTCCCAGGCAGTTTGGCGGCTCCCAGGCAGCACTGTGATACCAGCTGCTGGGGATGAGGGCTCATAAGACCAGACGTCATTCTGTCCTTTCTTTGGAAGAGGCCATGGCCTTGGGCCCTCACCTGTTGGGTCCATCTGTTGAGGGGGACACAGGTAGAGGATAATAGGGTCCATCCCAGCCCTGATGGTCTCTGTGCATAGTGATCATAAGGCTTCCGGGGAAACGTGTGGACCTTTGAGATAAACTACTTCTTCTAGACCATTTTAACCCAAGCTTTCAGAATGATAAGCCTCTCTGTCAGATTCACGGTCCACATGTGTCTCCACCGCTTCTGGTTCCTTACTGGGAAATGGCGTAGGTGACTCCAACCCTTAAGGGACACATCACTTGGTCTAGTTTGACAGAATTGTGTCATGTAAGGACATCTGTTATTAGCTGTGATGGTTAATTTTACACATCAACTTGGCTAGCCCACAGTACCCAGATATTTGGTCCAGCACTTGCTTGATGTTGCCAGGGAAGAGTTTCTTAGATGACATTAACATTTAAATCAGTAGACTTTGAGTAAAGCAGATGACACTCCATAACATGGGTGGGACTCATTCAGTCAGTTACCGGCCTTAAGAGAAACAGGTGGAGGTTCCCCGCGGAACAGGGAGTCCTGTGTCCAGACTGCCTGAGGATGTGGGCTGCAGCACAGACTCTTCCTGGGGTCTCCCATCTGCCCTAAAGATTTCTGGACTTTCAGGCTTGCACAGTCATGTGAGACAATTCCTTAAAACAAAATCCTCTCTCTTTCTCTCCATCTCTCTCTCATCCCCACCCCATATACACACGCTGTTGGTTCTGTTTTCCTGTAGAACCCTGACTTATATACTAGCTAACCACACATAAAAATATAACCCTTTAGGAAGCTGAATTTGAGAAATCCTAAGCGTTTAATATCATACCTTTGAATGAGGAGTGAGGATCTTTATCTCCTCCCAGAACTGCCACGCTCTGGCTACTAACCCCAGTGTTGCTTAAGCTTCCTAAGCCACAAACCCCCATTTGTAAAATGAGAGTAAACTGGCTATTCTGTTAATTTTAGGAGATTGGTACAAAGAATATAAAACAAATGTGTGTGAAAATGCTATGGTATTTTGGTATTGTATAAATGTATATGTATAAATGGTATTATGCAATTAATAATATTAGCCTTATTACCTTTAATAACAATTTGTATACATATATAATTAGGAAATATCTCATCCACAAAAAACACACTCTGTTTCTTAGATTAGTTAAAGAATTTCAGTTTCTGACTGGAGTAAATAGTTCTCCAGTTAACTGACAAATGTAGAGGATCCTCCACTAAGCACAGGAGGGGAGATGTAGAAATAGTAAACACTGTTTTTGTTTTTAATAAATAAGAGCTCTAGTTCACATTAGTAAAATGAGATGAATAAACATTGTAAATAAATGTTTATCCTCCTCACTTAGGTTCTTTGAAGAACAAATTATATAAGCAGAACCCCTGCGGGAGTTATGTGGACAAACACTTATAAAGAAGAAAAGAGAAAGAAAAGGAGAAGATGACAGAAATCACGGAGGGAGGGAGGACGAGCCTCCTGGAAGAGTGACACTGGGAAATAGTGGTCGATCTTGCCTGAAGACCAAAAGCGAGTTGTCTGTGGTCAAATCAGCTTGGGAAATAGTGAGCTAACAAAGTTAAACAAGTTTCTTTGCTACAGGATTTCTTCAAAACCTTAAGACGCTAATGTGCACACTGAAGTCAAAGATGCAACATTTTGCATTTTCTCAATTTTTCTCAGTTTCGTTTCTCATTTTCCCAAAATTCTTTGACAATGGATTCTCCCTCCACCTCACTCTTCTCTCATTGGATCAGCAGAATGGTTTGAGAAATGTTGGCATATGGAGAAAAGTCTTACACTAAACTCAGAGAATTCGAAGTTCTAGCCCACACTCAGCCACTGGCCCTTCTATGGTGTTGGTAGGTTGCTTTAAACTCATTTATCCCCAAGGTCTGCTGTATAAATAAGGTGGTTTCATCATCTAAGCTCTCTAAGATTACTTCCAACTCAAATATTTCCCAGCTCTAATATCCCACGATTCTATACAAGAAAATAAACAAGAATATATGGTATTTCCTGAAAAGTAAGAAACATATTTTGATAAAACAAAAGAGTCACTCTTTGTACAGCACTGAATGGTCACTGAAGGCATTTTTACCAATTTATTCTCAATTCATACTACCCTGAGTGACAGTAATATTTATTGTGCTCCTTTTACAGGTGAAGAAAGCTTCTAACAGGCTTCCCTGATTAAGACAGTGTACCCTTCAAATTGTCCTCCACATGCTGTCAGGGTGACAGCTCTAAAACTAAAATCTGCCCCTGTCTATACTTTACTCAGAATCTTCAATGGCTCCCCACTACTTACATGAGGAAGTCCAAGTACCTCATCAAGACTTCCTGCTC